TGTTATTTGTTAATTCATATTTGGTGTTTGCTTTTAATACTCTAAGTTTTTTTATTATCTATGTTGTATTCTTGTACAGCACTTTGGTCAACGCTCCTGTTGTAATTAAATGTGCTATATAATTAAACTATTATTCAAACTTTAAAACACTGTGATGCTGAGAAAACCACCAGTGGATGCATTTTATCCTCTTTTTCAGTTTGTGCTTAAAAACTACAACAAAGAACCAAGAAAAGGACCTAAACTCTGAATGTAGCTTTCTAACTTCATCGTGTTTGGCCAAGAATGTTACGGCCGGGTAGCCGGTGGGATGTGAACACAAAAGCAGAACGCACAGGACGTGGCCGATGAAACTGCCACAATAAAGAAAATAAGCAACAACATTAACAGAACAAGAACTAACAAAACCTAAACTGGGAAAAACTAAAAAATGAAACCTGAAAGTGCTGACGACACGAACCATGAACGTGAAACAGAGAACTCAACAGTGAACAGATGGAGACAGAGGACTTAAATACACAGATGAGTAACAAGGGAAGTGGAAACGCATGGGAAACACAGCTGACACAAATGAACAGGACGACACAGGGGAAGCAAAACTGAACACACTGAACATGGAACGCGGACTGTCAAAATAAAACAGGAAACATAGTGAGATGTAGACTGTGGCAACACGAGCTAGACATGACAGGCTGGAGAAACATACAAGCATGCAGACACGGGAGACATGGAACCAACCACAGGGAGGGAAACATGTAAACAGGAAGGAGACGAGACACCTCGACCAGTCAACATGGACTCAAATCTAACTAAACATAATAACAAATACAAAGATAAACTTAATACTGAATAACAGACAACTAACACATAACTCAAAAAACATTAAGCCCAAAAGGTGGGCCAAAGCACCCAGGACCATGACAAAGAAGGCAGTTATACTGTTACCGTTATTTGAATCTTTACAACACAACTGTTGTTATTTAGAATAGTTCTTGTGTTTGAGACAAACATAATTTTAAGGTAATGGTCCTTTAAACTAAAATAAAATAAAAATAATTTTAAAATGGATTTCTTACCAGAAGTGATGACATCCCTAAAAAATCGTGGCCCGCGGTCAAGCTACAAGTTTAAACTGAAATCCAAAACACAGCATCATATTACGAAAGAACTTGAAAGACCGAACAGACAACAGTGGCTTAAACATCCACGTGCAGCTCTGAGTGAAGAGGTGTCATTACACAGAGATTAATGCATAGCTCGGTTTTTGTGCTCCCCACATGAAGGTAAAGGGTCATTGTGGTAATTCTGAGGGCTGAAAAAACTGAATGTCAACAGATAGAAACTTTTGGATGGAAACACACTGGGTACTACAGAGCTGTTGTGTATTTTTTATGTCATGCTCACTTAGATAACACGTCTGTGAATTTGTGTGATCAGGTATGAGAGGCGATAGTGGTTTGTTGGGAATACCTGGCCCTCGAGGTTGTAAGGGTGTTCCTGGTCACTGTGGATCTCCAGGACTTCCTGGATCTCCTGGAGATCATGGACCAAAAGGGGAAAAGGGTGACACCTTAGATCCTGAACTCATATCACCTCCAAAGGGTCCTCCTGGAGAAACTGGCTCAACTGGTCAATTTGGACATCCTGGCCTGAATGGAGAACAAGGCCCATGTGGTCCTAAAGGTGAGAAAGGGCAGAACTCTCATAATCATATCAGATTCTTATCTTACAAAAACCTCTGATTGTTAGATTTGACTGCAGTCATCCCAAAATGTAATCATTATAAAGACTAGCTTCTTGGAGGTGAGGTTTCAAAATAAAACCTTCTGATGTCAAATTACTCCTAACATCAGATCTAATGTCAGTGTAGCTGACTGTTGTGATGCTTGATGACCTGTTTCAGGTGATAAGGGAGATTATGGACCTCAGGGATGTAAAGGCTGCGATGGAGCCCCTGGTCTAAAAGGAGACAAAGGAGAGCCAGGCCTGTCAGGAGAGAGTGGAGTAGTGGGACAGAAAGGTGAGACCTCTCCCTGTCTGACTTTTACCACATTTCTACTGAAGCAGTTTAAGGAACCTTTGCTGGTCTAAAACCAAGAACCACATGATTCAGGAACTGGGGCTGTGTTAAAGAAGGCCAGTCGCTTTCTTTCCAAGCTCCTTAAACTGCCATCACCTGGATGACTGAGAACCTACTCGGACTGGGACTGTCATAACCAACAAGACCAGCTCAAATCTGCTTTGACTGCCAACAACACCACAGAGCTGTTGTAGCTTCTAGATAGGCTCAACTAAGCAAAAGCCAAAGTGTGGACACGGGCGTTTGTAACATCACTTACTGTTATGGTCTTTGGGTCGTAGGTAACCGTGGTCCAGAAGGTGAAAAGGGTTCTCACGGACCAACCAAAGAACTGAACTTGGGCTTGTTGGTGATGCACAGTCAAAGTGCAAACACTCCCAGGTGTCCAGGCAACATGAACACCCTGTGGGAAGGATTCAGTCTGCTGTATCTGGAAGGCCAGGAGCGGGCACACACTCAGGACTTGGGTAAGTATATATTTATAAATCCCAAAGCAAACTCTTATTCCAGAACCGCTCAGTGCAGGATGTTCCCAGGCGTTACTTTCTTGTGACTCACCTTTGGCCCAGTAAACAGTTTCTCCTCCACCAGGTCACAAACCCTCAAACATCTCATTAGACCAGGATAAGGGAATGAACACCAGCTTAACTTTATCGAGGCCATTTGAACCAAATATGTTGCATTAGTTTGGAATTAATTTGTTTCTAGGATCACATTGGTTTATTAAGATTTAAAAATAAGTGTGAAACAACTTCCAAAAAAGGAGTTTACGTGGGTGTTTTGTTGTCACATGTTGGGACATCAACATCTCCTTCGTCGGGCAGAAAGATAGTGCAGAGCTTTCTCCTCTAAGTTTTGTCCTTTAGTTTGTTCTTGAAGATCATGTGTTTCGAGGTCTAATGGGACATATAGAATTACAAAGCTATAGCTTTACATGCCTAACATCTATATCATCCACACACACTTTAACCACATGCTAACAAATCCCATGCTAACTCATGTTATAGATATCGTTAGCTAAGAATTCCAGTAATTCCACTTATCTACACTGTGATAATCTCCACAATAGATATACCTGCCAACAAACGGCTGAAAGTTTTGTCAACAACAGTCAGAGGTCTCCTTGTTCAGATCAACCACCATCTCCCAAAGATGTCTGTGGTCTCAGAGGTATACTGGGTCTCCTTCCTCTGAGGCTCTCTGAGGTTCCTATTCTTCATAATCTGCTTGTTAAAGCCAAGTCCACGACACTGATGTGGGATGGCTCAAAGAACCCCTCTGATCTATATCAGTTCTCCAGAATCTGAGGTTCAGCGATCGGCCAGAATCTCCTCTTGATTACTTTTTTTTTTTTTTTTTTTTTTCTCCTCTTGATTACCTGATAGCTGGACGCTCACAATCCGGTCGTTAAGTGATGACGTGACGAATCCTACTTCCGGGTCTAAAGTAGTCTGCGTTTAATATGGCTTTTGTGTTGTTAACATGTTTAATGTTTTGTATTTTCTTCTATTTAATCTCAAAAAGCTCCTAAAACAGTCAGTGATCCCTGTTGACCTCCCTCGGTTTTTATTACCGCTAATCATTTATTTAAGCTCAGTTTTTAAAACCTTAGGATGTAACTACAGCCCAGCCCATGCAGCAGTATATGAATGACTAACCTCGTATTGTG